GTTGTGTACTGTATATTTTGATATTCCTATAAGTATGCTTGATCATATTTCAGGTGAGGTTATGTTACTCAAAAACAATTTTACCATATAGGTCCTAACTTTGAAGATTTGTAAAGGGGGACCACAAAGTAACCTTAATCCAGAGTACATTATTGACAAGTACTAAGGCAAGACCTTTGAGTACCCAGTGCACCATGATCATTAGGCTTTCCAGTCTGCCCTGTAGGAGCAGGCAGTATTGCTAGCCCTGTGCCATATCCTCTAATCTGTTTGGTGGTTCTTTTCCTGGCCTTGAGTAGTTTCCTCAGACACATGCTCTGATTAGTACTTTGCTGTATATTCCCAACCATCCTTCGACACGGCTCCAGAGTTCTTTCTCTGTGTGACTCTTTCTCCTCTGGTATTGTGCTCTAAATTATAGTCACCTTGGTTCACCTGGACTCTCAAGTTCCATTTCCTTTATTTATTTATTTTTGGCAGTACCGGGGCTTGAACTCAGGGCCTCACACTTGCAAGGCAGACTCTCTCCCACTTGAGCCACTCCGCCAGCCTCAAGTCCATTTCCTTAACTAGGGAGATCATGGGTCGCTGCTTGTGTTCCTTCCCTACCTTGTAACCTGGAAGCTCTCTCAAAGCGGTAAGCTAGTGTTAGTCAGCTTTGCATCACTATGACAAAATACTGAGAAAACAACTTAGAAGAGGAAAGGATTTATTTTTTCATGTGTTTTCTGGCCATTTGAATTTCTTCTTTTGAGAAAGTTCTGTTTAGTTCACGTGCCCATTTCTTTATTGGTTCATTAGTTTTGGGAGAATTTAGTTTTTTAAGTTCCCTGTATATTCTGGTTATCAGTCCTTTGTCTGATGTATAATTGGCAAATATTTTCTCCCACTCTGTGGGTGTTCTCTTCAGTTTAGAGACCATTTCTTTTGATGAACAGAAGCTTTTTAGTTTTATGAGGTCCCATTTATCTATGCTATCTCTTAGTTGCTGTGCTGCTGGGGTTTCATTGAGAAAGTTCTTACCTATACCTACTAACTCCAGAGTATTTCCTACTCTTTCTTGTATCAACTTAAGAGTTTGGGGTCTGATATTAAGATCCTTGATCCATTTTGAGTTAATCTTGGTATAGGGTGATATACATGGATCTAGTTTCAGTTTTTTGCAGACTGCTAACCAGTTTTCCCAGCAGTTTTTGTTGAAGAGGCTGCTATTTCTCCATCGTATATTTTTAGCTCCTTTGTCAAAGATAAGTTGCTCATAGTTGTGTGGCTTCATATCTGGATCCTCTATTCTGTTCCACTGGTCTTCATGTCTGTTTTTGTGCCAGTACCATGCTGTTTTTATTGTTATTGCTTTGTAATATAGTTTGAAGTCAGGTATTGTAATACCTCCTGCATTGTTCTTTTGACTGAGTATTGCCTTGGCTATTCGTGGCCTCTTGTTTTTCCATATAAATTTAACAGTAGATTTTTCAATCTCTTTGATGAATGTCATTGGAATTTTGATGGGAATTGCATTAAACATGTAGATTACTTTTGGGAGTATAGACATTTTTACTATGTTGATTCTACCAATCCATGAGCATGGGAGATCTCTCCACTTTCTATAGTCTTCCTCAATCTCTTTCTTCAGAAGTGTATAGTTTTCCTTGTAGAGGTGAGACCCTGGCCTTGATGTCAGCATCACCCACACAAGAACTGTAAAAATGATAATAAGGTACGACATAAATAAGAAGAATCCTGTACCCATAGCGATACTCAAAAAAAACAGGTATGTGTGGTGAGGACTGCACAATAATGCAAGCTAATAAATGTAGAAGGAGTGATAGGATTAGAAAAGCGAATTATAACTGGTTTGAACAAGGACTCTCATTGATGCACAGCGGGGTGAAAAGATGTTTGAGGGTAGCATCTTCACTGATCTCAAATTGCTACTCCACTGGTTATTTAGTAATTATCAAGCAATAACTTGGAAATCTTGAAGATGCCACTTTAATCACGTGATTAAAGAGCATCATGGGTCACCTGAAATCACGTGGCATATCAAAGGTCCTCACCACACATGAAAAAAAAAAAAAAAAAAAAAGGCCAGGGTCTCATATATGCTGGACAAGCCCTCTGACACTGAGCTGCACCTCTACCCCTCTTTATTTTTTGGTGTGCTCAAATTGCCCAGATTTGCACAATGTGATATGTTGTTTTCTAACCACACAATATGGATTAAGCTATGCTGTTTTTAATGCCCAGAATAATTTCTAGTATTTGCCCCTCCAAATAGGAATTGGGAAAGTGACTCCATAAGTTGGGAGTTTATCATAGAAGTCTACCTTACTTCATGTGCACTCCCAACCCAGAGTGAGATCTGAGTTGAGAGGAGATGCTTTTGATTGATAGTACAGATCAGTGTTATCCAGTTGTAATCCTTAGCGCTGTATTTTAGGCATATGACATACATTGTTATACTTACCCTTCATTTGGGCATCTGCCTTCCTTCCTGTTTATTTTCAGTATTCAAAAGCAGCAATTTACCTTTGTTTTTTTTTTTTTTCATTTTTCTTTTATTATTCATATGTGCATACAAGGCTTGGTTTATTTCTCCCCCCTGCCCCACCCCTCCCTTACCACCCACTCCACCCCCTCCCGCTCCCCCCCTCAATACCCAGCAGAAACTATTTTGCCCTTATCTCTAATTTTGTTGTAGAGAGAGTATAAGCAATAATAGGAAGGAACAAGGGGTTTTGCTGGTTGAGATAAGGATAGCTATACAGGGCATTGACTCACATTGATTTCCTGTGCGTGGGTGTTACCTTCTAGGTTAAGCAATTTACCTTTGGGCTCCTACCAACCTGTCCAGGTCATGTGTCACCTCAAGGGTTCTTTCTACACAGCCCGTGGTATCCTTGGACCACCTCTTCTGCCCCTTTTGCACTTACTTAATTCTTTGTGTTTCCATTTATAGGATCTTACCTAGCTATATGGCTTGCTACCTCTGCAAATTTAAAAATAATATTGAAATTGTCTGCAAGACAGTCAAACTGCATTGTGACAATGAATGTCTGACATTGTCATGAGTCTGTTACCTTATGAAAAATGTTTTAATTTTAATTTTTAATCTTCAATTTTAAAGTAATGATAACTTTTTAAACTAATAATGTAATTGCTTCACTTTTATTCAGTCACCCAAAGTTAAACTCCCTACTTTTCTGAACTGCTCCCGTGCTCAATGTCAGGTTCTTAGTTGTCGTTGCATAATTTATAATATAACTCTTCCATATGGGCAAGGACCTAGAAGAGGCAGGGAATAATAGTAATGGTCACACACTGGGTACTGTGCCCTCTGCCTGATGCTTTGACATACAGTGATCACTTATTCTTATGGTGTCATGCAGTTTCTAAGTTGCTTTTATATGTGTTATGTCTCACCTGACCTCTAGGGCAGGTATAGGTGGGTTTTGCTTGTTTGTTTTTGCAAGTTTGTTTTTGCAAGTTTATAAAAAGATTATAAGTTATGCTCTTTTATTTGGAGCTGGGAGTTTCTAATTCTGTAACTAGCAATTGCTGCCTCACTCTCCTAATGGAGTGAGGCTCTTCATGCTTAGACTGTCCAACTCTGAACTCACTCTGAATCTCAGGCTTTTCTATCTATTTTCTATCTATCCACAGATCCCTTGGGTACCTTTAAGGGTTTCTCTGTGTATTAGGTCTTAACATTAGCACTAACTTCATGGCTTCCAAAACATCACTGCTTTGATATCCTGACAGCTTGGAAACAGGGCCCTACTGGTGAAGTGGGGCAAATAAGTAGTAACACTTTTGACTTACATAAACCCAGTATTGCTTATTTTTCAAAACAGTTTTTCACCAATAACATTATTCCTTTCTCACCTAAAGGTGGCAAAATATACTTTTTCATCTCCTTTTACAGTGAGGAAAATAAAATCCCAAGTGTCAAGTGCATTAGCCCCATACCCGGGTCTTCTGTTCCTAGTTCTTGGCTCTCCATGGGCCCACATTCCTCCTTCCTCATCATCCTCCCCTCCCCTCTGACCCTCGTCACCACCACTGATGCTCTCAATTGCCCTGTTTAAAAAATAAAACCTAACTGTCATGGTGCGCTTCACCTTCATGCAGTCAGAAGTTTCAAATGGTTCTCAAGTCAAGGTGAAAGTGTTTGTGAAAGTATTTGCAGACATTGGCAAAAAGTAGCTTTTCCCTCAGGTATTTAGGACCTCAAGGCATGTTTATTCAGAGATTACTGTTACTCTACAGATTTGTTGCACATTACACATAGACATACAGCCAGGCAAACTAAAAATTTCTTAACCTACATCCCAGATCCCTGCCCAAATTTAAGGAAAGAACCAAGTGGTTTTTTTTTTTTGTTTGTTTGTTTGCTGTAGAGCCTTCTGTTATGGGGGTTAGGCTACATGGGATCAGAGCCCAAGCAAAGGAACTAGATATGTAGGTGGAGGAGGACAGGGCCAGCTGAGGACTTATTAGCAGAAAGAATGCTCCCCTCATAGAACTGTCCCCCATCATGGTCCTCTGTGATGGTAGCAAGAACACAGTATAGGGAAGGAGGGGTTGAGAGAAGATTTGTTGTCCCTCTGTGTCTGAAACAGGACAGTAGGTGCATTATGAATGTGAAGAGAGGTTTGCTGAGCAGGCAAGTATTTGTCTTCCAGTCTTGGTATTTTATTGAGTACTGGACAATTGGCTGTCCTAAACAGAGTTCCTGTATTTTCACACTATGGAGTGTTCTGAGTAGGTAGCTACTTTGTCAAAGATGTCTTTTTCTCTCTTTGTTGCCATTTCATAGGTTTAAGTTTGGGCTTATTTTTCTCCCCTGTCACTCATATATTTGCCTACCCCTACTTTATTTGACTTGGATATGTGGCAATGGACTAATTGAAAAAAAAAAACAAAAAAAACCAAAACTGTCCACCAGTCTTCTCTTATCAACAGCAGTCTTTTTTTTTTTTTTTTTTTTTTTTGGACAGTTGAAGAAGCATCTATAGGAAACACAAAAGGAAAATTCATGAAGGTGTTACAGACCCAGAAGAAGAGCACAAGCACTGAGCTGACTGTTGAACCAAAGAAAGGGGATATGAGGACCAAAAAGTCAGCTTTTCTGGCTTCATAAATGAGTAGCTAGACTTCAATGATGAAAGTGATCTCATTAGTGCACTAAATTACATATTGCCATTTTCCTCACAGGGAAATCTAGAAAATGCAGAATCAGCATTGTTACTGTTCATTAAACTGCTTCTTTCCAATGTGCAAAATGGAAATAATTTCACTGGTAAATTGAAAAATGATACAAGGAGACTCCTCCTTAAACCTTCTTCAAACAACTCAGTTTATAAAAGTAAATTCTGGAAAATTTGTTATAGGCAGAAATTCAAAGAAAAATTGATGAGGGTAAAAAGAAAAAATAGCCATGTTTATGCAGCCCAGCCTTTTAGGTCCCAAATTTAAATGCCAAATCTTTCAAAGGAAAATGGATACTGCCCAACCACAGGAAAATAGTCTGGCAGAGACTGAAGAGAAAAGGCTGCAGAGGGTGAACAGAGTCCCTAAGGAGCCAAAAAAGATACAGAAAAGGCCCTTCAAGGAAGTGAGGAGACAGAGCATCTGGGAGAAGCAGAGTGCCCCCCCTCTTGTGGAAACTATTGCTGCAGAAAGGAGGGATAAGAGACCACGCCTAAGGGAGCTGGAGCAGCTTCACATGGTCCAGGAGCCCAGGATGTCAGAGGAGTTCACCTTCCAAACAGAGCCCTCACTCACAAAAGAACAGAAGGCAACAGTCTCTTCTCTCCTAATTCCATACTCAGTGGACAGGGCTTTCATGTCCTCCACTGCAAAACCACTCTCTGAGGTCAGAAATAAAGCAAAAGACTTAACCTACACCATGTTTTAGAAGATGCAAATGCTAGAAATAAAAACACAGAGGCTTCTAAACCAACCACATAGGCCAGAAAAAATCATCACCTTCATTAAAATAGGCTCTTGTGTGGTCTGTAGAATACCGATGTTCAAAGCGAGTCAAAAGTTCAGAAAGAAAAATTCATGCTTGAACATGCTGGTTGAACACAGGCCTCCATTCTCTACAGTGAGGAGCTTCATAAATTCCCCTTCACAAAGGGCCTTTTCATCTTTGGGAGACCTCAGTTCTCAGGACAACCCTTTTTCAGAATTATCTGCTATTTCAAACTTGTTACAGAGGACACTCCTGTAGAAAAACAGACAGAAGAAAATGCTTTTGAAGGAAATGCTCTTATGGCAAACACGGATGAGCCAGCGGAAACTCTCTCTGAAGCCACAAAGCAGGAAGATGCTGCTGATGCAGATTCTAGTGTGGGTGCATTCAACTTAACACCAACTGTGAAACAAACCAGTGAGATACAATGGGAATACCCCAACATGGGCACTGACACACCAACTCCCAACTCAGTCTCCAGAATCCTCTGAGGAGGCTAGTGATCTTCCTCCATTGGGAGATAGCATTTTCACCTCTGGATCTAGAAATAGTGTTTGAAATCAGTGTCCAAATTTGCAAGAAACCACAGTTAAACATGTGGATGTGGAGATTATCATGATTCCACAGAACACTGTGGACTTTGAACCTATTCCAGTCCAGCAGGACCCTTAGAACCCTACAGATCCCACTAAGCAACTTGAATTTTCTCCTACCCAGTCTGGACCACCTTCCCTGAAAATGCTGAATCCTCTCTAGCCCAGCAAGAGCCCACAAGTCAACCTTCTCCAGCCCAGCAAGGGCCCAAAGCACAACCTTCTCTAGCCCAATTCAACAACTTGGTAATAAGGAAGTAGCAATCAGTGCATCATGAGGTAAATGTTCCATCTCCAAGTATGGAGTCCAACTCCAAAAGTCACCGTGAAACATATTGATCTGGAGGTTACACTAACTCCAGAGTCGTCTTCTCCAAGCCAGCAGGTCTCAGAGAGTACTGCGGAGGTTAACACCCTCATCCACTCAACAAGAGGCTCCAGCTCAGACTTCAGAGCTCCCTGAAGACAGTGAACCTTCTCGAAGCCAGATAGAAGCCTCAGTTTAGCCTACAAATCCTCCTGAAGAGGTCAAACTTCCTGTTGAGCAAGAGGCTACCATTGAAGCTCCAGAGTCCCCTATGGAGAATACAGCTCCAACTCTACCAAATCAGGAGGTGACAGTTCAACCTCCAGCTCAGCATCAAGCTCAACAGAATAACTTGCCTAGCGATACAGGTAAGCCTGCGGATGTGGAAATCACCATAACTCCAGAACCTAACAAGGAGGCTGCATCTTCTTTAGCCTAGCCAGAGGCCCCAGCTGAGCCTCCTCCTCCTCCTCTCTTGGGGAGGCTGAAACTTCTGGAAGCCATCTGGAGTCCCCAGTTCAGCCTCCAGAGTATGGTGAGGAGCTTTAACCTTCTTTAATCCAGCAAGTAGTCTCACCTCAGCCTTCAGGCCCTTTTTCAGAGACTGAAACTTCTCCCAGTGAGCAAGAATAGCCAGCTCAACCTTCCAAGTCTCCTGAGGAATTGGAACCTTCTGGAAGCCAGACAGAAGCTCTAGTTCAGCCTGCAAAGCTGTCTGAGAAAGTCAAGCCTTCAGTTGAGCAAGAGGTTCCAGTTCAAGCTCTAGAGGTGACAGTTCAAGCTTCAGGTCAAAATAAGCACAACAGTATAACTTGCCCAGAATAACAAGTAAGACTGTGGATGTGGAAATTTCCATAACAGAGGGGAAAGGAGAATTAATACCTCCCCTTCTTTTTCTTAGGAGGGCTTTTTCTGGTTAAGGCAGCCAGTTTGGCTTAGGAATATATATAGACCTCTCAATGCCACATGCAATCAATGCCACAGGCAAGAAAAATATGGCCCAACAGCTACCTGACAAGGACTCTTCTGCTGAGGATGAGATTTTCAATAAAGATGCAGTATAAGTCGGTCAAGCCTGTAATCCTAGATACTCAGGAGGATCATGGTTTAAAGCCAGCCTCAGCAAATAGTTCACAACACCCTATCTCAAAAAAAGCCTTCACAAAAAAATATGGCTGGTGAAGTGGATCAAGGTGAAGGCCCTGAGTTCAAGGCCCACTACCGCAAAAAAAAAAAAAAAAAAAAAGGCAGGGTAAATGGATGAGGGGTGATTTAAGATTCCTAGCTAACATGGAAGTAAGGAAAAAAAAAGTTGGGACTTTTCAAGAGTAAAGCCTTGTATTATTGTCCCAGGGAGCTTGGGGAAAGTCATCACAACAGGTAGATTCAGCCCCTGAGGGTGAGGAGAGGGAACTGGCTGAGGTGCCCTCCACTTAGCCTGTAGAGTGATGCCATCCTGCCTCAGAAAACAGCAAATTTTATTTTCTAATACGTCTCAGCACTGCTTTTCAAATACTTATTTTTCTCATTAAAACATGAAATTGTAACCAGTTCTATCCATGTAGTAATAATTTAAAACCTAAATAGTTAAATAATGTATGTACAAGTAACAAGAACACAGGCAGGAAAACCAGAACTGATGCTGGACTCCTTTGTGGCAGTCATGCTTCTTGAAGAGGCAGTGTAGGCACCAAAGAGGGCTCTGTGCCCTAGCTCCCCCAGTGTAATCATCTTCTGGGAATGAGAAAACATATCTTCAAGGGGTGCAGAATTTTAAGTCAAATCCCAGTTGTTCTCTTGTAGGAGGAGGAGAACTAAAAAAAAAAAAAAAGAAACAGACAAGTTTGTGTCTAACAATGTAGCAGGGGGAATGGATGGCGCATCAGAGAGATAAAACTTAGAGATAAAAATTAAAACATAAAAAAGGTCATGTAGTACTGGGAGAGTAGTAGCCAATAGAGTTACATGCAACCATATATGGGTTAAACCTTGCCTTTTGCTTCTGTAACCTGCTTGCAAGGATATGTAAGGTGAGACCTCTTTGTTCTTGGGGGTCAGCCTTTGGACATGAGTGCACTGAGTCTGTGTTGGCACAATAAAACTTTGCTTCCTGCTAAACTGCCTCAGTGTCCCATAGCTCAGCTTAAGATTCCTGCAACATTTCTTGGGGGCTTGTCTGGGATTGTGGAGATGGTGATTTGTTACCTTGTTGCCAGGGTGCATCCTCTGGACTTTTGGGAGAAGATCCCACCAGGCATCAACAGACAGCCTGATCTGGAGGAGGGACTTATCTTCCCGGCAAGTCAGGATGAAGGACTCTGATGCACAATGAAACCCAGTGAGGTGCAGGAACCAGCAAGGGTAGGGGAGCAGCACCATCAGATTGGTAAAAACCCAGGTTTGAATTCAGACCTGCCTCAGGAGGCAGAAGGGGAGACTGATCACCTCCCAGAGACCCCCTAATAACCCTATTTGGGATGAAATTGGGTCTCTCAGGTTAAGGGAAAGTGTGTGAGACACCTCCAAGAGTTGGGGAAAGGAAATAGCCACAACTGAGGTTAACAGATGGGTAACAAAAAATTCAGTTCCAAAGAGGGAAATTCACAAGAAAACAGATGCATCATCCACTGGATAGCCCTCTGGGTATAATTTAAAAGTTTTTTCTTTTTTTGAGAGTTTACTCTAATTTTGTGTGTGTGTGTGTGTGAGTGAATTTGTTTAAAGTACTGGGCAAAATTTAATTTGCTCCTGAAATTTCAGCTTATCTTATGCACACTTAAGTTGACATTTTTTTCTGACATGCTTAATTTATAAAACTTTTGTATGTGTGTATGTGTAAGCATCTTGAAAATGGTTCTTAAACTGCTGTTGTAAGGTTAATGTGATTTTCAAGGTAACAAAAAAACTGGGGTGTTTATTTTACACATCTCTGTTATAAACTACTTAAGTTTTTTACATATGAATATGCAAACATCTTGAGGATGGTTCTTATTATAAAGTAAATATAAAAAATTATTACTCTGTTCTACTTTTAAAAAAACAGGTTTTCAAACTTATTTCAATCAGGTCTCACTAGGATATAGACATTCAGGGGTTAACACTGGCTCAGACCAAAGGAGGGGAAATTTAAAAAGGGGGGCAAGGAGGGGACACAGCCAATAGCAGGAATCTTAAAATTTGGGTAGTTAAAACTGACCTTAGCCTGTTTCATTCTGTCATAAATAAAATCTGGGATTTAATTCTCTCTTATAATACATGGGTATATTAACAAATGGGCTTTCTATAAACTGTTTTTATACAAAAAATAATTTTAAGGTTGCTTTCTGGTTTTTTTGTTGTTCATACAAATATAAGGCTCTAAGTTAAAAGGTTTTATGGGTTATTTTCAACAAGTAACATATAAAATATGGTATTAAGGATATGGGTTTTAAAAAATAAAAGGTTAAAAAATAACCTAAGTTAAAAAAAGAATAAAAACAAGCTCCCCCAGGGGGTACAAAATAAGTTATCATAAAGGTACAAAGTTGTCATAAAAAGAGAGCTTATAAATGCTTATATAAGTGATTGAGTTAACTAAAATCCAGTTACATTAAAGGTTTTGTAAGGTCAAAATTTAATGTACTGATACTAAACTGAAACTTAATTCTGTAAGCTCTTAACAACAAGACAATTTTTAAAAAATTTTTATTTTATTCATATGTGCATACAATGTTTGGGTCATTTCTCCCTCCTCCCCCCCTTACCCCCCCTCCCTCCCTTACCCTCCTTACCCCTTCCTACCAGGCAGAAACTATTCCACCCTTATCTCTAATTTTGTTGAAGAGAGAGTATAACCAATAATAGGAAGGACCAAGGGTTTTTGCTAGTTGAGATAAGGATAGCTATACCAGGGAGTTGACTCGCATTGCTTTCTTGTACATGTGTGTTACCTTATAAGTTAATTATTCTCGAACTAACCTTTTCTCTAGTTCCTGGTCCCCTTCTCCTATTTGCCTCAGTTGCTTTAAAGTATCTGCTTTAGTTTCTCTGTGTTGGGGGCAACAAATGCTATCTAGTTTTTTGGGTGTCTTACCTATCTTCATACCTTCCTTGTGTGCTCTTGCTTTATCATGTGATCAAAGTCCAATCCCCTTACAAGACAATCTTAAAAATATTATATTGTTCTTAGAAATGGTTTTTGTTTTGTCAAGATAACTGTCAGAAATTTTTGGTGCTATAGGTTAATCTACAAATTTGTCAAGACAACAAAGTTTATTAAAACAGAGAGGCAAGAGGCGGCTGAGCACAGGGAGTGCTGCTGCACTGATAGGAGGGTTGAGACAAATTTACTTATATAAAACAAAGTAAAAAAAAAACACCAAAGTACACTCTCCATATAGGATAAAAAAAAACAAACAACAACAACAACAACAAAAAACTCAAAAAGGAACACTACACTGGAGGTTAAGACCTATGTTGGAGCCAACAGAGTTAGAGGTGTTTCTCCTCATGGCAGGTGGAGAAAATTTTTGGCCTGGGATGGCCAGATTAAGCCTGTTATTTTGGAGGGCTCCATTAACTACAGGTTGATGGGATCCTGTTGTATGTCATGAGCCATCTGTTAATATCAACAATCTGGGATATAATCCCTTAACATCTAAGCCATGATTCTTGGCCATTAGGTTTCCTAACTCCACATTTAGTCCCCATAAATGTTTACCTGTGTTCTCTGGTGATTTTTGGTTGGGGTTTTAACTACTAAGGTAACTGAGTCATGTTCATTTAAAAGTTGGCTTATGTAAAATTTTCTAGATGACCTCATGGTTAAACAACTGTTGTCTTGGGTGATTCTAACACAGTTGGTACCCTATATGTGTCTGTTACTGGGCTATTTGGAGTCACTGACACTGTTCTTCCTCCTGACAATTGATAAAAAAAAATCTAAGATTTTACTTCACAAACAACCAAATGAATATGTATATATAACCTCTATAGAGCTGTGATGCTGTTGTTGGTTCCTGTATACTAAATGTATTTATGTTTTTCAAGTATATCAAGCTTCTAAAATACAAAATTTAGATAGACATGGTAACAAAAAGTTAGTGGTACTGATATACTGTTCTGTTAGTTGCTAAATTGTCCATCAAAATTTTAATCATGACTCTCTTTAAGTTTTTGTCATTACAGTTCTTATCCTTCTGAGACATTTACAAACAAGTCTATAAAAAATGGCTCTAATAAGTACTTATGTGTCAACCAGGTTAGCTTTTTAGACATTTACTTTTGTTGGATTTTGTTTTACATTGTCCTTATCTAAAAGCCCACTGCCTAAGGGCCACTCCTTCTAAGCTTCTTTATTGCTTAAATTTGGTCAAAAGTGTCTAGTTAACACTGACTCCCACCTGATCTACTCATTACTTACCCCTCCCCCGCCACATGGGCGCCAAAACAAACAAACAAAATCCTGCAAAGAACAAATCCTCACAATGAGAAAAAAAAATGACCAATAAAAGATCTTCAGCCTATGGCAATACCACCCTGAACATGCCCAATCTCATCTGGTCTAGAAAATTAATCAGGGTTGGACCTGGTTAGTTCTTGGATGGGAGACAGATCTTCAGAGGAGACTGCTCAGAGACAGTTTAGAGACAGGGGGAAATGCTGTCAAAGTTCAAATGGAATCAGAATCACTCATGCCAGCTCTCTCAAAAATAACCAAGGCCGAGAGTATTAAAAAAGTGGTTCTTATATACATGTGGCCATCTGACATTAAAGACCTTCCAGACACAAACTCATATTTTTAGACAGGGTCTTCTACTTAGAGACAAAAATCACTATTTTTTACTGGTACTAAACATGTCCTTTCATACTTAAAGATGTTAGTTTTAACTTTTTTAAACAACACGCTTTCTTAGACATACATACTGATAATATATTATTGCCATGGTAATTCCTCTCAGTAACAAAACAAAACAAACCCCAAGATGCTGTTTGGGTAAAAAAAATAAAATGTCCAACCATTAAAACCCCATTAGAGGGACCCTTATGTTGTTGTCTTGTTCTATCCCCACTACAGTTAAAGTAACAAAAATTGCTCCCTGGCCAAGTAAAGCCAGCCTCTCCCAAGTGGGAGTGCATCCCTGACTCAGCCTCAGCATCCAAGATCACCCTTAAGAACACCTGTGCCCCTCCTCGGCAGGACCCCTCTTCCCAAAAAACAACAGGGAACCATGAACAACGGGATGACAGCCCTGCTCTAGTCACTCTGAAAGCTGACTAGTCTACACATGGAGGAAGCTCAAACATGGCACGCACGCCTGCTCTCTTCTACACACTTGGACACTTACTTTTTGGGTTGGCCCTTACAAGTTTTTCCCCATGCACTAAATGTTATAAGAGAGCCATTGTTGGAACCTCTACACCGCTATACTTTGTATACACCCACCAAACAGGTCAGATGTTACATCGGCTCATATACTCCCAGGTTAGCGAGGTTGCTGGTAAGTGATACTAAAAGTCCCAGAGTATAAAAACAATACAGGCTACATTTGTCATAAAAAGCTGGGTGATCGGTCTTATCCTAGGAGCATGCTTAATATTACCCTGCCTTGTTCCCCTGATATTGTGGTCTATCAGAACCATTATAAAAGCTACTATATTTTTAAAATGGCCACATACATAATTATGCTATAAAAATATAAACCCCTAAATCAAGATGATGCTCTTTGGCCTTAGGTGGCTCTGAGCATCAAAGAGGGGAATAATGTAGTAAGGAGGAGAACTAAATAAAAGAAAGAGACAAATTTGTGTTCTGATAATGTAGCAGGGGGAAGGG